CTTTTTTTTTTTTTAATTGAATGAGAACAGAGAAAGATTATGATAGGCACTGCATTTATAAGGCAGTTTGAGAATATAATGATGCAGGAAATAAACTGTTTTCATTCTTCACTTTGGATTGCTTTACCCAAAAGGCATTATCTAGTCATACTGCTGGAGAATTTTAAACTGTAGGAGGCACGATTTGTTCTGACTGCTGTCCTGTGCTATGCAGCCTTAGTAAAGTTGCTTAATGAACTTCTGTGCTTTATTTGGTCAGACTGAAATGGGAGATAACCCTCCACTTGAGTTGGCATGCAGTAGTCACAAACTGGAAGCAAAGAACCTGTCTTTTTTTGCCCTTATCTTTCTAGAATGTTGCAGTCTGTGGAAACTGAAATGCTTTGTGTCACCAACATTGCTAATTTCTCAGGTGCTATGCTAAGATCCCTTAAGTTCTCTTGAGCACTGGCAACTCAATTCTGCTGCCACATTATTCTTGGCAGGCGGAGCAGCATGGGGAAGATGGCATAGGCGTCTGGATCCCAGCTTCCCTCACATTGAATGTGAATGAAGTCACATTGCATGCTCAATCTCCGCACTTGCCAATCCCACACCTTTTTCCTGGACTCCATGACACCTTGAACAGACGTAAAAGGTTTCCCCCTTTCACCTATGTCCTCTCCCAGCATCCCCAGGACGACTCAGGCATTAGACATCATCAGGTAAGGGCCAGAGGCTCAGAAGAGTTAAATCACCACCCAAGTTCACACAGCCCACAGCTGAGCAGAAGGGCCTCTGACTCCACATCCTCTTCATGCCAGCCTTCCTTTGAAGCTTCTTGTGGGCAGTTCACAGGCTTCCCAGAAGCCTGCAAAGCTCATTTCATTAAGCCTCTTCCATAGCCAAATAGGTCTGTGATGAACCACTCACATCAGTGGTTGATATGAATACGTAGAATATCAGAGGTGCCCTAGGTGAGTCACTGAACGGCACCAACCTTCAGGAGGCGGAGTGGGGGCAGTGGGCCAACTCCTCCTGACCCAGTTATCTTCGCTTGCGTCCTGGCTGCCCAGAACTGACATTCTGCCTGAGGCACACAGCAGGGCCCACCCACCCACCACGCCACACTTTTGTGTGGTCAAAGTCAAGGGAAGAACCGCTACAACTTACCTTCAATCTTGCAGTCAAACCTAGCAGCGCTTCCCTCCACAACTTCTAAATCACGGATGGTCTTAGAGAAATAGGGTTTTACATGGGGCTTTTCCTCAGCAACAGCCTCAAGGAAAGCTTGGGACACATCTTCTAGGAGACAGGGAAGGAAACACGGTCAGTTCTTCATTTCCTGTTCTCTTCCCTGGTTTAAAAAAGTTGATTTTTTTTTTTAAGTTGCTGTAATTCAGCAAATAATGTGGCTTAGGGGACTGAGTCAAGTACACCTTTCTCCTGGGGACAGGTTGGCCTGCCGCCACATGGTTTTGGCAGAAGAGAGAACTGTGACAAAACTGTGGAAATGTTTGAACTCCCTCCTTCCTTTATGCTGACACACTGAAAAAGGAAATAATCTTTAAAAAGGATTTTTGGCTGCATTCCATGCTGTCTCAGGATTCAGTGGAAGGGATCGAAGAAGGACAAACCACACCAGCTGTCCTGATCTCTGTCCCTGCTTTGCCCTCCCTCCTATAGCAGCAGGCCCTTCACCTGCTCCTTGGAAAGGGGGTCCTAGACATGCCTTCAATTTACCAGTAGTTCTGTTCTCCACACTCACCCTGCCTTCACAATGTATGACTACGGACCAGGATCTGGGATTGGTCCAGGGAAAAGCTGTGACTTGGAGGGGCTCCTATATACTCTCCCTTCCCTTCAGGCTATTTCTGGGTCATCTGGGGAGTGCGGATCAGGAGGGACCAGGCCCACGTGTTGCAGACTCTGCCCCCAGCTGCATCAGAGCAGCCCAGCAAGCAGCCTCGCCAATTACCCGGCTTTTATGCACAAGAGGGATCTAGACCTAGCTTCTCACCTTTGGATGCCAAAAACACCAGGCAGCGGGAGTTAGGGGGGTGTCTTTGGCCAAATGAGGCACCTCAAGAAGGTAAAGGCCAGACCCTGCATGCACCTGGAGCATGGAAGAGGCCAGAGCCTTCACTGAGGAGATGGTCGGGGCAGCGTCTCAAAGGCGGTGTGCAAACAGCTAACTAGCCCTACTGGTCTCCAGGAGGAGCCCTGTCACGCGCAGTCTACCCCATTCAAATGGCATGTTTCAGCATCGTGGCAAGAGCCAAAGGAATATGGACTAAAGGTCATTTTTTAAAAAAAAAGAAAAACACAAAGGCAGTAAGAATATGGAAGGATATTTTTTGAAAAGATACTACTATATGTGATTTTTATGTTTACCTATCAGTATACAAATCTCACTTTTCTAATGAGAAAAGGAAGCTTTTAATGAAGTCTTCACTATGTAAAATATAGGGACAAGAACAGCGGAGGTCACCTGGTCCTATGAGACAATAACTTTCCCTCTGAAAGTAGCTAAACTTAACGTTGAACAATTAAAGAATAACTAGCAGACTTAGTAATTTTAGGGCAACCTAAAAGTAGTTCTGAATTTTATCCTTATAGTTTATATTATCAAAAAAACCCAAACCCCCCTTAAAACCTCAAAATGTCCCTCCATCCCTCAACCCTTCCTTTCTTGCCAACTAGAGCAAATCTTCCTGGAGCTCCTTACCTTCAGATTCTAATTTTTCTGCATTGAGCGGGCTGGTTGGTGATCCTGTTGAGGATTTCCTGCCACTGAGCCCTGAGATCATTGCCATAGAGGACAGTCTTCCAATGGCTCTCACAGCATTGCCCGTTTTCTGGAAAATAGACACTGGCGTTGGACTCAGGCGGTGTCCCTGGTTCCCGTTGGGCAGTGGGGCTCGGGGAAAAGAGCCTAGCCCCAGAGGTGCAGCTGTCCTTGAAATGAGGACCTCCCCAGTGCCGAAGTTCTGCCAGAGGAGTGAGCCCAACCTTGCTCTGCTCAGCACTATCAGCGTGTCAGAAGATGTTCGGAGAATGGAATGGGGCCTGGAACCAATGTGTGCGTTAATGTGACTAAACAAGGTCAACATGAGACAAAAACCCTTTTCATACTGTGCTTCAACTCCCATAAAAGGGATAGTTTATATAAAGCAACTGCAGGCTGAGACAGCTCCAAAGACTTATTGCTGACGAGGCCCAGTGGGGCTGTTTCTCGTAAAACAATACTAGCAATAGGATTTTAATTGGTCCAGAGAAAGTTACTACGGATCCCACAGGTCCTGATGCAAAGGGGAAAAAAAAAAGCATTCCATTGACCTTGGGCAAGTCGCTTAACCTCTCTGGGCTCCAGTTTCCTTCTCTGTATAAGAAGGGGGTTGGACAAGATGATCTCCAAGGTCTCATTAGTTCTGTTTATGATTCAGATACTTAAGAGATTTCCAGAAACACTCTGGCTGGCCCCAGCACAAGTCTGTGAATGCACAGTGAAGTTCTGGAGGGGTGCTCTTCCCTGATGTACACCCAGCCATCAAAAAGAAGCGCCCGAAGAAATGAAAAGCAGCGGCGCTTTGCTTTTCTCAGATGAGGAACCTTGGAAGAAGAGAGAATTTCTGCTGAAAAGGATGCCAGAACTTGAGACGAAAATTTTCTTTGTATTATGAAAATTCTACCAAGCACAGGATTTAGATCAGGAAATCCCCAATAATACACAATCGTGTCTATGTTTCTCACCTTCAAGTGAAGTGTCTTGCCCCTTTTCTAAGGTCAGTGGAAAGACGAGGTGAGAAACTAAGGCATAAGCAACTCTTTCCACCCCTACACCCAAAACATCTTTTTAGGCACCCAGATACTGTATGTCCAGAGTGCAGACGTTACCACAGGCTGGCTGCTCAGAGAGAAAAGAAACAGCCTGTACATAGGCCAGTGGCTAGCACTCATCTACTGGACTGTAAACTGTCCCTGCAAAGCCATCTCCTCCTGAACTAACTTCATGCGCTCAAGTATTTCAGTAAAGCCTCACAATTTCGACTATCAGGAAAGCCAGTATATCTCCAGAAAAAAAGATTATTTTGAAAGTAAAGGATTACAGGGCACTAGGGACTCGTAATGGTGTGTGTGTGTGTGTGTGTGTGTGTGTGTGTGTGTGTGTGTGAGATTTAAATGGAGATCTGCTATGACCACAGCCACTTTTCTGTTTGTCACATGCCATCCTTATTGCAGACTATTTTCATGCACTTTGGACATTCAATCCTGCTCTGCCCTCTGGCCATCCACCCTCTTGCACACATACATCACTGCAGTGTGGTAATGTTTATGGCCCTCTGTCACCATGGTGAAGCTGGGTCACTCTGAACAGAGCACAGAAAGCCCCAAGTGGAGGTGATACAGTGGGTGGGGGAAGAAGGTGAGAGATGACAAATGACCAACTTAACTGTGTGCACAGGCACTGTGGCCTTGCAGGCAAAATACCTGCAGACTGAGCCCACTTGGCAGTCTTTTCTGCTCTTCTGGGAGAGGAGGTCACTGGTGACATCACTGACCTGTTTGTTGTGCTAGCTGGAGAGACCCAGCTCTTCCCCTGGGAGCTTATCCTGACCTCAGGAATGGGTAAGAGGAGGTGCCAGCCATGGCAGCCCTCCCTATGGAGCTGACGTCAGACCAGACTATTTCCTGGTCAGCCAAACTCTCAGACCCAGCCCTTCTGGCTCTTGATTCCCTTTATCCAACACAGATTGGTTTGCCTGGGCCAGGAGTCTGTCAAATGAGAGGGTTCATTCTCAACAAAGGTATGTTACTGTGTGACTCTGGGCAAATCAGTTCCCCTCTGTGCATCTCATGTTCTTGGACCAGAAGATTCAAATCTCCCTATAGCTCTAGTCTTTTGCAGAAAGACTAGGATTCATACATGTGACTGTGTAGCCCACGGGCTCCCTAATTCCAAATGCCCAGATTGTGACTGATCAAGACTGTCTTTAGGTGTGGAATAAGGAAGTCTTTCCTCTTCCACTAACAAAATGACTAATATGATGTTACCAGAACAAGGCAGATAAAAGAGAATATTTCAGAGAAGGGATCATATACACATTAACAAATAGGCTATACATAGGAGGAAATTTTCCATCAGATGGAGTGATACAGCATATAATTTCTAAGACAAGGACAAAAGTAAGAAGTGCTTAGTAACGAAAATCTTAAAAATAATCTCCATCAGAATTCAATCTCTTATGAAAAAAATCAGTAGGGAACTTGTCAGAGCTAGAAAAGAAATATGTATCTATATGTTCTAGTCTTTAAGTTTCATGACTCTGAGCTGAAAATTGGTTGCTGCTTTATTAAGACTTCTGGAAATTTTTAGAATACCAAGAAAGAAAGTTTCAGTTCTCCAAGTTCCATCCTTGTTTGGAGGAAGTCTTTTTCTTGTCTGAAGGCCATTGCCAAGGCTGGGTTCCTGTGCTCCAGGCGGGCGGTGTCTGTACTGGCCTCCCTAATGCCACTCAGACTCCCTCCCCTGGAAAAGCCAGCCAGGGTGACTAACTGGCCTGGTTTGCCCAGGACTGAGGGGTTTCCCAGAATGAGAGTATTTCAGGGTTAAAGCCAAGACAGACCTTGGCACACTGGAGCAAGTTGGTCACCCTGGAGCCAGCCAACCATCCTAGACCGTACATATATGCCACCAGCTCCAAGACTCCAGCTTTCTCTGAGAAGTGCATAATATCCAAATGTGATGGCCAAGAGTACTCTCTGCTATCCTGAGTCAAAAGCTTTCTTCTCTATGGCCCTGTGGTCCATACTGCAGAAGCCTTTGTGGTTCTCAGAAAATAAAGATGGCTGCCCACAGGCCTCTACTTCCTAGTCCTTAGCTTCCAGGTTGTTTTTTTTTTTTTTTTTTTTTT